ATATATATACAGATACATACATACATATATATATATATTGCATACATGCTAGTTATACACACACACACACACACACATATATATATATACAGATACATACATACATATATATATATATTGCATACATGCTAGTTATGACTCACACACACACACACACATATATATATATACAGATACATACATACATATATATATATATTGCATACATGCTAGTTATGACTCACACACACACACACACATATATATATATTGCATACATGCTAGTTATGACTCATTTATTTACTATCAGTAGAAGTGTGTGTGTGTGTGTGTGTGTGTGTATGTATGTATATGTATATATATACATACTACATACATACACATACACATATACATACATACATACACACATACACACACACACACACACACACATCCTGCCTTTTGTTCAATATTATTATATATTGTACAGTGGTACCTCGGTACTCAACTGTTTTAAAGTTGAATTTGGTACTCAATGAATTTGATATGAAAATTTTGTCCCAGTACTCATTTATTTGGTGTTCAATAAACAAGCCAGAACTTGTTACTCTTTCCAGTGGAAACAAAGGTTCATACATTAGTCACGTGGATTTGGTGCTCGTTTTTAGTACTCAATGAGCCTCCTGGAACCAATTAACCAGTACCGAGTACCATTGTATTTTATTATTATAATATAGAGGAGGGTGTGTTCCTCTCTTGTGGCACCTGTCTCTGGGACAACATTCCCCCAAGATTTCTCACCCTGATTCCATTTAAACAAGCCCTAAGACCTGGCTCAATCATCAAGATTTGGGTTAGTATTGTTGATGATTCTATGATGTTTTGGGTTTTTTTAATGATTGTTTTTTTCAGGTGTTTGATTATTTTCGTATTTTATTGTATTTTATTGTATGGTATTTTGTAAGCCACCCAGAGTCATAACAGATTGGGGAAGTCTATACATTTCATAAATAAATATTATCAAACCAAATCAAGCCCTGCAAAGATTTCTTACTAAAGGATAAAGAGCATAAGCTATATGTTGATTCAGTGGGTGTTGGTAGATAGATATCTTTTTATTTTCCAGTCTAGGGATGAGGGAATTATTTCCCCTGTATTGCCCACCACCCACCTGAAGTATAGTGGTTATATATATCTGTCTCTCTCCCCCTCCCTCCTTCTATATTTTATGCTAAGACATTCCAACTCCAATGTCCACAGTAACCTAACAGAAAATTGGCTTTAAAAAGGTTAATAGCTCATTCAATATACAAGAAATGATTAATGAAACACTTAGGCAACTTTGCTTAACCTTTTGTTTATGTTCTTCTCCCCAAAGGGGAATTCCAATTCCTAGAAAATTAAAAAGTGGTCTTATTTAGAAGATCAAAGCCAAATAAATCATCAGTACTTTATAAAGTACTCACTCCTTCTACTCCTGTGGGAATCTGTCCATTGATGTTAAGCGTTCTGAAAGGAGAATGAGTAGAGAGGCGTTTGTCCCATTCACTTGGCCGTGGCTCAGGAAAAGATTCCATGAAGTTTTTCTTCAGTTCACTGATGTTAGCATGATGCTTCTTTATTTCTTCTTGGGGTTTATCTAGATCCTACCATTTAAGTAAAAAAAAAATACAACACAAACCACAGAAAGTTTTACTGAAATGAAATCTACCGCTCTCTTTGATGCTGCAGAAAATTAGTCAATTCTTTTTTCCCCCTCAGAGAAATAAAATGTACTAGTGCAGGATATCCCAAATAAAGCTCAACATTATTTGCAACATTGTTTTTTTTCAATTAGATAAAATCCCAATTATTATTTCAGGAGTGACAATCTTTTCAAATTTCCTAACTTTGGAACAGTTACCCATTGTACATTTCCAACACTCAGCAGATATTATGAGAGTGTAGAACTATTCAGTACTTTGGAGTTGATTCCAAGAAGGTGCTTCAGAACATGCCCAAGTGTATCAAGTAGTGTCTATAGGTAAATGCTAAAAGGAGATGCTTCTTTTCCTGGGACAGTGTGGCTATCTTACAGAATTGCTACACAATCATAAAGATTATGATAACCATAAAGATGTGGTTATTTTCAGTACTTGCAAAAGGGAGTTATATTTATGCCTCCACATTCCAAAGCATTTTTTTGGAAATCAAATGTAAAACTTGTAGCCTCTTTCAATCCTAGATTCACATGGTAATTTTATTACGCTTGATGATACTTCTTTCTGAGCAGACTGTCATACAATATGGAACTCAATTTGGATCTTGTACCTTTTTTGCCTGCTGCTAATCTTATATCCAAAAAGCTTTTACCAGCTGCAGACATACCGGTAACTGGTGTGGTATATGTGTTTGTGATTATGGTGTTACCAAAATCCACAAAAGTTAATCATTCCTTGGTAGGGAAAAAAACGAATGAGATTGCTGACTTAAGTAGACACAATTGACATAATTGGTAAGAGAAACCATTTTAGTGAACAAAAAAGGAACAAAAGCCAACCAATTATTTTGGTTTCATGATCCAGGATAATATGACTTCAATAGTAACTTGATTTACCTTTAATAAAATACATGAGAAAATCCCATTTGGACAATACCATTTCAGAACTCAGATTAGAAGATTAATATTTATTATTAGTATGCACATCTCAGAAGCTTATATGCTCATCGATCCGCAGGAAAGGTTCATCTACGGATACATATATGCATATTTGGGAAAATATATTTAATCACAAATTGTTTAGCCAGTGACCTTATTACAAGGATTGGACGCAGCCTTCACTGCTCAAGGAAACCTTTCTATCCTGATGCTGCTATTCCTCAAGTTGACAAATGTATCTTCAGAAGGTACATATTGAATCTACATGTATTTGCCACTGTAATAATTAGTCTTTTTTAATTTGACCTTTGTTTTCCCAAACAAGGAAAATCTTTGCTTGGTACAATCAAAATCCTTGCTTGGTACAATAAAATTGAATTGCACACATTTTCAGTTTTTGAAAAATCCTTGGATTTTATCTCTTTCCAAATTCTGGGACATTTTCAGTTTTCTCAATTTCAAAATCAAGCTCAAGGCTCAATATATGAATACTTGTGCACTATAGTACAAAGAAGGGTTATACTTTATTTTATACTGTACGTTAAACATTTTTAAGAGTAATAACTCAGCTTTTACAATTTACAGTTTTTAAAATTGTATTGGATAGAAGCATTATTCATTTTATTTTATTGTATCTGGTTTAAAAAATCTTGTCTGTTAAAACAAACTATTTGTTAAAACATGAGACCTTCCAAAAATAATATATAAAAAGAAATAGTCATTCTGCCCTTACTGCAATATTAAGAAATCAAAAGGTTTTCTGATAAAGAGTACAGGTTATGACAATTGAGACCAAAATTTCAATTAACAAGACCATTGTTAAGTGAGTTTTGCCCCATTTTATGACCTTTCTTGCCACAGTTATTAAGTGAATCACTGCAGTGAACATGCTAGGAACATGGCTGTTAAGTGAATCTGGCCTCCCCATTGACTTTGCTTGTCAGAAGGTCGCAGAAGGTCGCATAACTACATTCCAGCTGCCAAGCATCTAAATTTTGATCACATCACCACAGGAGTGTGAAAAATTGTCATGTCACTTTTTTCAATGCTGTTAGTACTTCAAATGGTCAGTAAATAAATGGTTGTTAGTGATGGATTACCTTAGGTTACTATCAATTATACTACTGGTTTGCAGGATAGTGTGGCAATTTAAATATTAGATTAATATTGCAATCTTAAAATGATTGAAAGATATACCAAAGTTTAATCGTATTTAGTGTTCTTTTAATTTCTTTTCTGTTCATCTTATTGTTTGAAACTTGTTTGACTTTATGATGGGCTTCTTTGGAGCATTTTTTTTTCTGTTTATTAGAATTAGATCGGAACAACCCTAATGTTTCATGAACAGAATAAAAAAAGTAAAGAAAAATAATATCAGGCAATTATTACAATCTATCTGATTGATCATGCTGTTATTGCCGATGGTCTGTGAATACCTGCAACAACAGAGTTAGGGATCAAACTAAATATGTGAAACACATTAGAAAGTGGCATTGAGATACATATTTATTCTAGAACCTGATATGGTAACAGGAGATAAAATTACTACAAAAAAAATAGGTAAATACATTGGATTTTTTTAAAAACTACCAAGAGTAGATAAGAAATTAAAAAGCTGATTTATAGAGGATTTAAAATGATATAAATGAAATATCCATTGTCTCTTGTCAGATCACCTTATGTTGATTGGATTACACCATTTTAATTTTGCCCCAAGCTCTGTATTGTAGCAAACTCAAAGCTGTATAGCACAAAATTAAAAATTCAAAAAGTAATTAGTACATTAAAAAAATATTGACACTGCACAAGAAACTCCTATGCTATTTCTGAAATTGTGATTAAAAGATAGTAACACACAAAAACAGAATCAGTATAAGAAGCACACATTCTCCTGTATCAGTAATATATGATTGGAATGTTCAGTATATTCAAACTCATGTTCAAGTGAGGGAAAAGTACAGTCAAGCCTGCCAATCTCATATATGTAACCAAAGAAATTGAAAATTATCACTTAGAATGACAAGAAATATCAAGTCTATTCAGCTTGAATAAAATAAATGATCTCCCACATCAGGAATGAAGTGATGACATTCTACTTCCTCCTTTCAAATTTATTGGGAAGTTTAAAGGAGAGGGATTGTTCTGTTTGAATGCTCTTGAGAATCTGGCCACATTTGAGATGGAAGAAAAAACTACATGAACTTTTAAACTATGGACAAGCTTAGTTTTCCCCTTCCCCTTCTTTAAAGATATGTAACAATTCTTGTTTTGATATCAACAGCACTAATAGAAGTAGAGGTGGTTTACGACATGCTACCCATATGTAGGATATGGCAAAAAATACTCAGCGAGCATCATAGTATGAGGACCAGACATAAGTACCATTCATTCAAGCTCCAGCATAAGTTGAAACATTTGCTGAATCTGTGGTCATTAATCGAAGACAACTTGAGAAACTTAAAAGGCTTTGAAATTAAAACTGAAGATCAAGGCAAAAAGTCTGCTACTCTGATTGAATTCAATTTTATATAACTATTCTGGGATTCTAGCCTATAGAATGGCATCACAAAATAAAACCTTGCTTATTTGTGTCAGTCATATAATTGCATGCTTAGAGATTGTTAGGCATAGATGATCGTGTAACGAGTTGCTAAGATTTAGAAATACATTTAAGTGAAGAATGATCCCAATCACATATTTTCAGATAACAAGAAAACAATGTAAACAGATAAGAAAAATGGTTGCATAATGTCATGTTTATTGTGACATGCAAAAGCCTATTTCTAACAAAGTCATGCAAAGAGCATGCGCACACACCTCACCCCAAAAACACAAATGCCACAGCAGAGGCGAAAAGAGTTTAGCAAAGAATGTAGAGGTTCAGGCAAATGCAACTGAAAGAAGCTTCAAAGTCATACAAACCTCCAACATTAAATTGCTATGTCTTATATAAATGTTTTCACCATCTAGCCTCTTTGATCTCTTCTGTGAAAGAAAGGGGGGGAAAAACAAAACAAAAAAAACACACACACAAAAATTAAAAAGGTTGTTCTTGCAGGTATTTGCAGATTGGAAAATGAAAAAGGTTAAACTAACATTCATAGAGCAATGATTTGCGAATGGGGTATAGTGTATAGAATGATAAGGTCATGTGGAGAATATGAGGAATGTGTGTGGTCCTGCTCATGAATGATGGAAAAATGTAATGGGTTCTTTTTAAAAAGACAGTTATCATGGCTCCATCATTCTGCAAGCTGTTCTTCCATAGAGACAAAGTATTTCCAAAAAAGAGTAAGAAATTAGAATATAGCTATGCAGAACACTGGAAATGTCTTCCTGGCTCTCTAGTGTACATAAAAACATTTTTGAAACTAGAATTTATTAATACTTATTTCAAAATTTAAATACATCTATTTGCCTTTTCTATTACAGTAATACTTTTTTTTTACTTCCTGAATTGTTGACTCCTCATAGAAAGTTTTTTGCAAAATAATTAGGAAATGAGAAGTATAAAGAAGGAAACTTCTACTAATTCTTTGATTAATTCTGATTAATTTTGTTTATTTACAAACAAATATCAGCACAGGAAGAAACCAAAATATTGTCTTTTTAAATACGTAGCATATGCATGAGTGATATGATAATTTTGTTTTGATGGAAGTGGAAAAAAAAACAGCTAACCTTCCTCATTCTTATCGGGTCTTCCTCTTTTTCTGCACGCTGCTGTTTTATGAGTTTTTTAAAAAAAGAAAAAAAATGGGTTCATTTATTTTGACTCGATTTAGCCTTTTTCCCCTTTTTTCTTTTTAAAGAAAGCAAAGCAACCTAATCAGACAAACCTGATTTTGGTCGCCATTTGTGCTGGGTATTGACATTTTGATATGCATTTTCCCCACCTACGTTAAAAAATAAAGTGGCAAAAACATTTTTTGTTAGTAGAGTTTTGGAGATAGCATTGCTTCAAAAACTACCATTTGTTTTTGAAGCATTGTGTAAACATGCATTAATTAACATGCACTCTTATGAAGACAAAATAAACACATACTTTATAATGACAGTTTGTTAGTTCGATATAGTTGATGTTATTTTATTCAGCATTTTGAATTCTTCAAAACAATTTTATTGTAAGTATAAATATGTAAAGAAGCTTAAAACAGCTGTAAACTTCAAAGGGTCTCTTCCAACTTTTCTTTTCTTGTTATTTCTGGTTGTGATGAGCTTCTAAAAATCACAAGAAGCATGAGAAAATCTCTACATTGTATTTAACTTGATCCTTGTTGCAATGAATGTTCTAAATGAATTACTTTGCAGCAGTAATTCAGGAAACCGATTAGATTGCAATCCATTCCTTACACAGAAATTGGCTTGAGAGGGAATTGTACTGGTTTGACCAATGTGAAAGTCTGACAGAGAACAAGCACAGGGCAGGATAGCAGGTATGGAACAAGGAATCAAGAGTCAGTAAAACATCAACTGAATGAGAAACTAGGTATCAGAGCAGAAGCAGCCAAGAAGGCACTAGTCAGAAAAAGAAATCCAAAAAATAAAGGCAATACATTTGAGCTATAGGAAACAAAAAAAAGAAAGAGTTTTAAACCAAACTGTTTATACAAAGTGCCTAATAGAAGTGAGGAAAGGACGAAGGAAAAAGGTCCCAGTCAGTGGAATTTTATTTATTCTGGATTTCTTTGTTCTTACACATATGGCCTTGGCAATCCTCACAGAGTAAGGACTGATTATATATAGAGTATCAATATGCAGAAAAAAAGGACTTAGCCAGGCATTTTTGTTACATGTCTCTTAAAGATGCGTGCAGTTTGAATTGGGTGAATTATCAATTATGCAGCTATTAAATATAGGAGACAGGGCACACTTTTTTTCATTTTTAAACAGTCCAAGGTTTTAAACCAACATTAAAATGTTAACTTATTGCTCAATACTGATAATAAGCAATGGCAGACTATATTTCAACTGTCAACTTCAATACAATATTATAATATGATATTAGCTGAACTGAATTATACTCATTCATTGTCAGTAAATCCCGTTGCATTTTTAAATATATGAATATGGGATTTAACTGCAATAAAACCAAGAATACATTTATTTAACCAAAATTAAATTTTAATATATTGTTTTAGACATTTTCATGCTGAAGTCTGGATTATAAATAGGTTTTTCTATTTTTTTTCTCTATTAAAGTTTTTTGAAGGAATTTGGAGAGAAAACCGCAGGCATCCATACCAATTATTGTAATTTATATGTAAGGAATTTCATGGCACAATGAAAAAGCCATCAAAAGTAAGAGTTAAGATACAGAGCAAGATAATAAAACATTACCTGCACAATAAACAAACAAACACACACACACACACACACCCCAACTCTTTACATCCCAGTTTAAAGATAATATATCTAAAACAATGTCTCATTTCACATATTTAGGGCATAACACAATGCATGATGTTACATAACTTTTAGATTTTCTCTTGAAGAGACTCTCACGCAAGTCCTTTATAATATTATTGAAAGTTAAATGCATATGGTTGGAAAATGTCTTCTAGCACAGCATCAGAATTTAAATATTTATCCCCTCCTATTGATTCCTATTACTGACACACTGCATGATGAAGAAATCTATCTTAATAATCATTATTAGTAGCTCCATTCCAAACTCTGAATTCACTTGAATCAGTGACAAGAATTAACTAACTGCAGCTGAGCCATACTTTTGAAGGAATATGTTTAAGCCCTGTATTGACTTTTTAAGCATTTGGATTCTTTTGCAGTTGACACCCGTAATAAATCAAATCAATCAATCAAATAAATAAATCAAAACTGGGCTGGACTGAGTTTTTGAACTGGCCCTCAATGAGGAGAGGAAGTGTGGCCAAAAGAAATAACTCAGTTAATTCTTGGGCGAATAGACTGAATAACCCATGCTTGGACTCTCCAAGCAGCGCACAGGAGAATATTTCATTCATCATTGATGATTAAAATACAGATGAATGTTCAAGCAATCCAATTTGCCACTTATAGTGTCAATCTGATAGATTTCCTCAGAATTCCTTCAAATTCCAACAACTGTAGTGAATGAGTATAGAAGCTTTGTTAAGAAAGTTAAAATGTAAGTTGAATATAGTTTCAAAGAAGAGCCAAAATGTGGGTGAAACTGTCTCTAATTGCAACTAGAGATGCTGGGTAACTATGTGTGAAAGAAAGAAATGACTACAAGTTAGTATGGTTTTAAAATCTCGAAATGAAAAAAAAAAACTATTGGAAAGCAAAATTTAGGAAGTACACTGATCAACACAATCATAATTATTTAGTTAGAAGGAAACCCTAAAGAATGTTTGGCTTGAAACTTCTTAGGTTGTGGAAACAGTGCTTGGAAATCAACGTAATTTGTCCTCTCACCTTTAGTCTGAGGACAAAACAGAATAAGCAGTAAATACTTTTCCAGGCTGCCTATGCACAATGGTTTAACTGTGAGTGGGATCAAGCTCTTATCTTATTCTAAAACAAACAAAAGCATTTTACCAATAATGATAAAAATGATGGACCATCATACCTGAAATCCTTCAGCTGGTTCTGCTTTGGCTTTATCTTGTAAAGTTCCTTCAACTTTTACTTCTTTTTTTACTGTTTCCTTTTCAGTTTTAAGAACGGCTGGTTCTTTGCTGACAGATGCAGCTGGTACAATTGGTTCAGTAACATGGCTCTGAGCAATAGCTGGTGCAGATGTAGGCCGCGGGCTTCTATCAGGTGTAACCACTGCTACTGCTAAGCAGAAATAGATACATCTTCAGTTATAGTACAGAACAGAATCAAGAAGAAAGCCACAACACTGCAAAATAAAGATATGCAAAGCAATTGGCATGTCTAAAGCAGAATTTATTTTAAATAAGGCATGAAGAAAAATGTTAAAGAAAACATTTAATACCACCAAGAGCCACACATTAAATGTTAGTGAACAATACATAATGTAAAATGCTTCTTATTTGAAGAATCACTGTTCAAAGTAGGTAACTGGTGCAAATAATTATCACAGATGATAAAATAATTATCATCACCTAATTACTCCTGTTAATCATAGTGATAAATGCAAAACAAGATCATTTGAGTTACTGGCAGACATAGAATACTTACTATAAAGATTAAACTAAATAAATTAGTATCTTTGTTTCAAAGGGTAGCCCAATAATAATACTGGCTTTTTAAAAAGCAATTTTCACAATTATATCCTGTGTTGTGAGAATAGCATGAAAAAGTACAGATTACATGACGAGAATCTTTAACAGCTTTCTCTCTCTTAAGTGGGACAGTGAAATACACTGTAAATTGGATCACCTCTCAGATGCAACAATACATTCATATGGGGTCCTAAGAAAACTAAGCAAAAGAATGAGCAGCAATGCTACATCTATATTAATTTATTTCACATACTCATTACTATTCAAAATGTTATCCCAAAAATTATATTGCCTCAAGTATGACATTTTCAAAATCTAATTTAAAATTGAACTACACATTTCATCAATCAAATATACTGTACTTGATCAACGTTAAATGATATTACTCAAGCTAAAAAATTATCTTTGATACTATCACTTCCATATCTTGTTTTGGTTCTTTAATGCTGAACTGGCACTGCTAGTCTCCTAATTCCCAAAGGTATATATAGGTACTCCTCAACCACAATTGAGCCCAAAGTTTGTTAAGCAATAACTGAGTTTTGCCCCTTTTTACGACCTTTCTTGCCACAGGTGTTAACTGAATCACTGTTAAGTTAGTAACATGGTTGTTAAGTGAAGCTGGCTTCCCCATTGATTTTGCTTGCTAGATCACAAAAGGTGATCCCATTACCCCAGGACACTACAATAGTCATAAATAGATGCCAATTACCAAACGTCGAAATTTTGATCTTGAGACCACAGAGTTGCTGCAAAGATTGTAAGTGTGAAAATAGTCATAAATCACTTTTTTTCAGTGCCATTGTATCTTTGAACAATAAAGGAGAATATTTATAGCTCAGGATTGACATGAGGAGTCCTTGGTGCTCTCTGAATTTGCTTGTTTTCTTGCAGATGTTTCATTACCCAAATCAGTAACATCATCAGTGCACTGAATGAAACATCTGCAAGAAAACAACCAAGCTCAGAAAGCACAAGGACCCCTAACTTTGGACATTTCACTAAACAAATGGTATAAGTATCGATTCCATGCTACCACTCCTAGTTCATGCTCATTCACACTGGCAATGTTCCAGAGAGGAGGAAAACAGTGGAAAACATGCACTAAACCATATATACCATATTTTTGGAGCATAAGATGCAAATTTTTCCCTCAAAAAAGAGGCTGAAAATCTGAGTGCATCTTATACACTAAATACACCATTTTTTGCCTCCCAAAACCCTGAATCCTTCACCAAAATGGCCCTGCATAGCCTTTAGGAGGCTTTCAGAGTGCTCCTGGGGGCTGGGGAGGGCAGAAGTGAGCGAAAAACAGGCAGGTATTTTTGCTCAATTTTGCCCCCCCCCCCAGAGCACTCTATAAGCCTCCTAAAGGCTATGCATGCCCTTTTTTGACAAAAAATGGACCAGTTTTTGTGAAAAATGGGCTGTTTTTGGGAGGTCTGCAGAATGCAAAAACTTTTTTTAAAAAATTTGCCTCTTCAAAATCTTGGTGCATCTTATACTTCAAAAAATAAGGTAAACTCTTTCAGAACAGCTTTAATGGTAAATGTCCCTGTTCACAACATCAAGTCTATCACATAAATATATTAAGTTTCCTGGTAGTTCTCTATCCATTATCATACTATTTTGTGCCATACTACTGGTAAGTATTGTTATAATAAGTCTAGTGAATTATTAGATAAATCAGAAAGAATGAATGTTAATCACTAAGGAAAATATATTAGTCACAAAATATAAGAAGTTGTTGCTGTGATACCTGACTCTTCCTGAATTGTTTCAAGTAATATCGATTTTGGGTCTAGATCCTGTACAACTGATTTTTCTTCTTTCTCCTCTTCTTTTATTGTACTTATGTCAAGAACATGCATAGCTATAAAAGTTATGAATTCATTTTAAAACTTCAAAGAATTAAAAAGAGAATTACTAGGAGCAAACTTGTAATAGAATTTTGTCTCTTCTTCCAAGCTCACTCAGCTGTGCCCAGCTATTTTTGCATGCAAATACATGCAGACACATTGCTCCACATTTTTTTCTATTGAAGCAGTCATTTAGCTCTAGGAAAAAAATGTAACTGCTTCAAAGATATGAAATCATCTTGCAATCTGTCTTTAGATTAGCTCTAAATATGAACAACCTAATTATTCTCCTTGCTTTCTCTATCCAACTTGATAAATGATTCACTAGTAGTACTGTGTACAAACGATAGAATGCAAATTTAATATCACATACAATTTTGAAGGTTGCTACTTGTCGCCATTCTGTTACTTGAACACACAAGGGGGATGTGTTTATATATATGTAGTATCCTGCTTTGTTTATAAAAGGATATTGTTCTCCCATCAAATTTCTTCAGCCTTATAATATAAAATTTAAATAATATACACAAAAACTGATACTTCCATTCTCAAAAATCTAATTAGGAGCTGAATTATACAACAGGAAATATCTAAGAATAATCCTATTTCATCTGAACAATATTAAAATAAAATTTAGCAAATTGCTCCAAATATGTCTTAGCACTAAGAAGAATGACAAAATAAAACAGCATTGTGAAAGCAGCAGAACTGAGACTGAATTCAATTCCTTAAATGTGCTCTGAAATGTGGGTCAGAAATAAGGTAACTTGCTTTCTACAGGCTTTCCAAGACAGATTATACTATTATAGACAAACAATGTTTTTTAAAATAGGAGGAAATCCTCATAAAAAATAACGCTTAAATTACAGCAAAAAACAAAACAAACCCCAAAGATATCCTAAGTTTGAATATAACTTTAGGACTGCATAAATGACATTTCCAGCATAGCATTTACACATTATCCATACCGAATAATATAGCTGGCCAGAGATATTGAAGAACTCTTTTGCAAAGTATCTTGTTTTATTTTACAATAGTGAATATGGAAAGTGGTCCCCGTTCAATCATCTGATACCTTAGAACCAAACTATTTTCTCAAGCAACTGAGATTTGTGGCTTTATTGTTGATGCAAGAATCTAAGTATTAATATACAGGAGGGGCTTTGTGTTCCAATCATTGAAGAACTCATTTGATTCCTTTATGAGATTGGAGGGAGGGGAATTCTCTGGGAGGAAAAATATACCCCCAGAACATGTGAAGCATTTCAGACTCAGGTAAGATGTCTCAGCTCACAAAAAGATAGAAAAAGCACCGGAGAGACAGGGAAGAGAGAGAATCAGTGCTATCCACAGCGATACCTGGCTTCTCCTGAAATTGTTCCATGGGTTCTGATTCCGGAACCCCAACCAACACCACATCCTCCTGCTTCTCCTCCTCTACGAGTTTGAACTGAATTTTTTGAGAGCCACGTTTAGCTGAAGAAATTTTGCACATGTTAAGAATATACAAAACATTGTATATAGAAAAGAAGTTGCTAAATTTTAGTATGGATACAACTGCTTTGTTGATTTCTTCAATTTTACACTCAGCTGCCTTCAGTCAAAATTATCTCCAAATTTGAAATGGTTCTTAAAATTCACAATTGTTAGCTATATTAGAAGAAGCTTTGTTGTTTAAGGAAGATTTAAAAGCTATTTTTATGAACATTTTAAAATTGTTTGTCTTCATGTTATGTCACCAACATGGAAGTCTTTTCCTGAGGCATTCATGTTACATAACATAAGAAACAATGAGTCACACAGGAAATCACAGTTATTTCCTCATGACCCCCAGAACATGGCAAAATAACAGAGTTGTGGTAACCAGGGTATGGTAAGAATCAGATGCCAGTTTTCAGTTCCCCATTTTTTCAGACTTCCCATGTGAATCCTATACCATTTTTTAAATAAATCAATTACTACACATGTAGGGCAAATATTAATGAAATCCAACTCAGTAGAATTTGTAAAGAACCAACTTAAACTGGAACTTATAGTAAAGAGGAGAATAGGGTACTCACCACCATCAAGGCTTCTAGAAGCACGCTTACTTGCTGTTCGTTCAAACTGTGGTGCAGGTCTATCTATCAGGGCACTAGCTTGTCTGGTCTGAGCTTGTGTCCGGCCACTGTAGCGAAATTTAGAACCCAGCACCAAGAATCTGCTCTTGGGGAGCGCTTCAGTTGATGTTAATCTAAAAGATACATGCATGTTCTAATGTTATTAATTTAAAACCCAAAGATATGTTTCCAACTCAGATAAAATGACTGCCACTCAATAGTGAGTACTATCTTAATTATATCTTTATTTTATTGACTTTTAAGTGCCATTCACACCCATCAACAGAAACCCCAAGGCTGTGAAGCTGTGAGATAAATGATCAGAATTCACTCTGCTTTTTAAAGGTAAATATAGATCTGAATAAGATTATCTTCATTCGGACAGCATGTGTGATTGTTGCATATATATTTATGTTTTCTAAAAATTTCTGTTTTCCAATTTGTAAAAAATATTTACAGATTTGGCTTCACTGATTTAGTAAGGGAATTTCTCATTAAATTCCCCATGTGTAAGACTGCATAGGACTATAGCTTTCCCTTATAAAATAAGCACATTTTATATTGTAAAATTGTGGGCTTTGGACTAGACATTTTAAAGTTACCCCCCACCCGTTTTCCAGTTTTCTATGCTTAGCTAAAAGGGGGAAGTGTTTGATAGAAGAACTCAGAACCTCAAGAGAACAGATTGTTGCAGAGGATACTTGATCTGATTGGTGAAAGCTTTCTTATTTTAGGGCTTGTATATTCTGAAATAATAAAATACTATATACAACAAATTAGCTCATTTTTATTATGAAAGAATCTGTTTACATTTAGTTATTCATTCATGAATATAGACAAAGCTTGAACAATTTTATGCTATTCAAAGCTTTGTGCGCCTCCCCTCACCTGCTATCAATGTACTGGCCTCTGCATCTGTTACTTTCTACTGTGGTCTCAGCAATAAAAAACAAACCTCCAGATCATTCCAGCACTTCTGATTTTTTTCCCTTAGCAGCCAATGTCCTTGACTATTTCCCATTTTTATGCCATCAACCCTCATTCAATGTACTTCTACCTGAAGTGACTGCTTTTTGTTTCATTTTAGTAACAAAAGTTAAATTTTATTGTACAAATAGACAAAATAATTTGAAATACAGGTAATCTTCGCCTAATTATGTTAATACTTGAAAAATCACATGACTGCATTTTTCTTAGTGTCAACAGTCCAGTTGCCATCATTAAGTGAGGACCGTACAGCTTTCTAAGTGAGGACTTCATGTAACAGTGATTTGCAAGTTCCTGCTGGCTTCCCTATTGACTTTGCTAGTCCTAAGCTGGTGGGAAAGGTCACAAATCATGATCACATGACATTCAGAAATGGCAATGGCATAATCATGAGTTAAGTACCCAGATCACAATCACATGACTATAGGGGTGCTACAGTGGCTACTAAGTATGAGAATCAGTTGTGCTATTCATTTAGTGCCATTGTAAATTTGAATGGTCATTGAACAAGTGGTCAGTGAGGACCAATCATATTTGTATCTTGGTTATGACAAGGACTAACAATACCAACTCTTCATCCTTGGGATGAGTTGTGCATCCCTTGTGAGGACAAAAGAAGAGTCTTTGCTAATGATATTGACCTACTTTCGGAAACAAATACTGGAAAATTAAAACTACCTGCTACCACTAGTCAATTAGGACTCAGGAGGTCTGAAACCACACTTGATCTCATCAAGCTCAGATCAGAAGTGGATTTAGTAGATGTACACCCATAAACACCATTTCTTAATTAGCCAGCAATGAAAAATACAAATGCAAACCTGAAAAATGTGTGATGTTCAACACAGACTTTCCACAATTTCTTAGCTGCTCGATAACTAGGAAGTTTGAATCCAATAGTACTTTCATATTGTTCATGCTATGGAAAATAGTAAGAGTAAGTTTGATTGGCACAGAGATTATGCACTGGATTAAATTATTAAATTTTAAAAAATATTTTCATTGGATTTTTTTTTTAAAGAACCATTGATCAGTAAATTTCATTTAATTTAAGCTATTATTGAAAAAGTTACCCAATCATCATCAACTAAAGAAAGCAAATTACAAAGGAAATGAAAACTACAACGGGGAAACAGGGGGGAAAGCCCTGAAAAAATAAAATAGGGAAGGGACCAGTTACTCTTTCTTAGTTCACCTCACCTCACACAAAGATTGGGAACAGTTTAAAAAACTTTCAACTACGTGGCTGCATTAAAAAACTATAATGGCTTGATTGTATAATGTAGCTATTATAGCAAATTAAATACTTCATTCTTACCATTTAGCAAATCAAATAACATGAAAAATTACTCCTTTCACTAGAATTAAAATAGGTACAAACCTAATTGAAATGATTAAAAAATAACATTCTTAAAAAGCATTTTCCCAAAGCAGAAAAATGCAATATGATTTTACATTAAAATCATAGCATGACTTGGTCAAATTTCAATACAAGATGATGTTTTTTAAATGCTGACAAGATGTGTAGATTTACTGGTAAAATATGCTATTATCAATAGAAATATGTATATCATAAACATATATATCTGAACCTAAAATGAATATTTACTCTTTAAAACTGACATAACTAATAACAATATCCACATTAGAGCAAGAACTCTGACTTCACCCAAGACATGTTCATTTGATGTAGATTGGTGTATGTCTAACATAAAATGCAACACAGCATATTAGGTGCTTCTAATCAACAAAGCCATGTTTCAAACTATCTGCACTATTCAATGAAGGCCCAAAGACAATTCCTCATAAAAAGCCTCAAAGGAAGTAAGTCATAATCTACCAAGTTATGCATGATTGTGGATAGACTTTTCTTTAGCATCCGGATTCAGCTGTTATTTGCAAAATAGTTTATCCTTAATATTTCTCAAAGATAGGGTAGAATAAGACAAATGCATTCAATTAGAACTAAAATAAAATGACTCCATAGCCTACCTCGCCAGGCCGGATCTTGATAAAAAAGCTGCTGCGCTTGTAAGAAATCTTTAACACTTTGGGCCAAGGAAAACGGTTGATTCTCAATTTATCTTTGTAGACAAGAAGACCACTGGAACAGACTCCTAGAGTGATGTCTACACCTTCCAAGTCCTATGAAAAAAGAAAATAGGATATAGTACTCATATGTTCTTATTTCAACATTAAAAATATTAATATTTCAATCTTAAAAAAATTAAAGGACTCAGATTATTGGGGGCAATATGCTGACTGTAAACCACTTAGAGAGGGCTGTAAAGCACTATGAAGCAGTATAAAAGTATAGGTGCTACTGCTAAAACAATAAAAGATCATACAAACTAAAGTCAGAAAAAAGAAACCACCCTTCTCCGAATTATCTCTATGTTCTTTTTGTTTAAAACACTCGAGAGCCCAGACAGATGGGTGCTAGAATTAGTATGGTTAGATTATGCACAGGAATTCAGAGTTTGCAAAAGACAGATTCTTCCTGTTTCCCATACTCTGGGCCCTGCCTATTAAATAGTGCCATCTTGTGGGTCCCAGGAAGCAAGCTTTCTCTGTTACAACACCTGCTCTTTCGCATGCCATATCCCCTGGATTCAGAGAATCCCAAACCTTGTTAGTATTTAAAAAAAAATGTGAAGACCTGTCCTTTTCCTCAGACATGGAATCTGGAGGTTAGGTGAATCTATCGCAGTAAGTTGTTTGTTGTTGTTATTGGAATTGGGCTGACTTTTGGTCACCATTACTTTCTTTTTTACTTTCTTATTTTGCTCATTGTGTTTGTTTTATTTTAATCCTATGTTTACCAATCACAGTTGCAGTTGGGTGTGATATATAAGTAAAACACATTAAAAATGGAAATATTATAAACAAATATATTCTTTTACCTTGGCTTGATGAAGATCAACTCCATACATTGACAGCTTTTTAGCATTCTCAAGAAATTCCATATCAGCTTGAGCTGGACTCATAGATCTATAAACAAATAGGTTTCAAAATAGCATTTTAGCAGCCATAGAAATTTAATTAAACTTGTTCACAATTAGTTGAGTTCACCCAACATATTAATTTTATTTTAATTTTTAATTTTCAAGAATAATTTAACTTCTAAAATAATTGTAGAAGCAGTTATAATGAGAAGTCTGAGTGAAATCAATAATAAATTATCGCTGTATCCATGCTTTAAAGATATTCATATTTACTTACACACACACACAAACACACACACACCTTTAATTGGTTATACAACACTTGATCAATGACAAGTTTAATACTCACTTGTATGATTTATGTAATTCTGTGATCTTGTCTTCTAGTTCTTTTGTCTGGTTTGGGGCAAATTTAAATTCACTGACATAATCTGCACCATGTAGATCTGTGTCATAGTCTCCTAACTCAGATTGGATTGTGTAGGAACCCAGCAAAGCTAACGTAGCAAAGGAGCAAGGAAGCCGCCCATTAATAATATCTTTTCTTAACTGGAGACACAAATAATACCTGCAAAATACAAACATCACACAAAGGAGTTTTTCATTTTCTTTAAGTTTAAAATAGTATTACTTGACCTTAGAAACATTAAGATGTGTGGACTTCAATCCCCAGAATACACCAGTCAGCATGCTGGTTAGGGAAGAGATGAAATCTACAAATCTTTTAAAGTTGTCAAGGTTAAGAAATAGTGATTTAAGGATATCACAAACCTTGTTATATCTTCTGTTAATTGTGCTGGGTCCGGAGGATAAAACTTGACATTGAAAGTGAAAATCCATGGACCTCCTGAATTTAAGAGAGATTGGGGGTTAATCTGCAATAGTCTGCAAATTGTTAAATTATAATTCTTATCATCCATTGACTAAAGGGCAAACAGACACTAAAAGAAATCTGGAAACCACAAGATCTCCACTCCTTCCATCTATAATTGCTATAATTCAGTAAGAAGATATAGAAATAACACATTATAAACATAAACATTACAAGCAAAATTTCTCCATTGTATTATAGACCAAAAATAAATTACAACAAGAAGCCTGGAATCTCTCTGCCTTTAAAAGACGTAGCTTAATCTTATTCCTACCAGCTGTAATATTACAACTTCAATTCCTAAAAGTTAAAATAAAATCACTTTCAAGAAATCAACCAAATGTATATCATTGGCTTGTAACCATAGACTCCGATCTTTTTTACAGAAAATAAAGACCAATCCAAACTTGAAGGGTCATCATTCCAAGAACTAGTATGACAAATGCTACATTGCTGCTAAAACTGAATTTTTGTTTTCCTTTTACAACCTTGTAAACTCTTTATTTGGAATGAAGTCGGGGCAATTAAATGGAGCTGACTATTTACTGTATATACTCGAGTATAAGCCTAGTTTTT